GCAACAAAGGATCTAACTCTTGAGGGAGATGGGGTGAGGATTCAGGTGGGGATTTCAGATAGTGCTGAGGATTCCTCTCAGGAAGCTCCTGCTGGGCCAAGACAAATTTCTAAGCCTAAATGTGTCATTTAACATCCTGGGTGGAGAATCTGGCCCTTCCAAACACTCCTGGTGGTTCCTGCTGCAGAACTGACCAGATTGCACGCAAATAAGATGCTGATAAATATCTGTAGAAACTGTTCCTGTAGATGCAGAAATGGTCACACAGGACAGTCTTTTTGCACATAGTTAATACAGTAAGATGTATTAGTTTAAAATAATTACAGCAATCAATAATGCATGTGCTAGTGGAGTCACACAGGATCAGAGGCCGGATAGGTTGTGAGAACTGAGCAGAGAAGCAGTTAGGGGAGCCTCATCTGATCCAGAAACTCCCGTCGCTACCTATACTGCAACCAACCAGCTTGTTTGGGAGATCTGAACAATAGTCTATGCTAAGGTATCAATCATTTTCCTTAAACAAACAGTCTGTCAATTTTTTGTGCAACACTGCTCAGCCAGAAAACAAATCAGCCCTTCTATCCAAGAAACACTGCATTTAACAAATAGTTATTGTGTAGATAAATCCAATGGTTTTCAAAATAAATCAGTTAGCCCTGCTAGAAGTGACCAGCTCAGAACATGTTATATTAGAAAATTCATTGCTCTTCCCTTGTTTGAAACATTAGAGAGGCCTAAATGTTAACAGCTGTTTATGCATTGCCAGATTTTACCAAAATACAAGTTTTGAAGCACTTGGCTTTCCATTCTGGTCACAGTAGTATTACAATAAACCTAACAGTAGACTACAATTCAATTTGACTGCAGTTCAGTACTATTAACCGTTCTGTGTAACAGTGCACATAGCGGTGCTATTCACAACTATTCCTTTTCAAAAAAAACCTCACATGTAACATGAGCTGTGAAAGTCAGAAGGCAGAAATTTTCACTGTCTTTTTGATGAGACTAACATTTTTATCTTTCAATATATCCAAAAGATAACTGAGTAATTACGTACATACTCTTCAAACAGCATGTTGACTCCCTAAATACTGTGTGTGGTCACCTGAGTGTTGTGAAAAGAAAACCAAAGAAAATCAGCTGCTATTTATCACCACCCTTAGCAGAGATACTGAAGTGATCCTGCATATTCTCCTAGGCTCCCGCTTTGCAAGCCAAAAATCACCATGGGTGCAAATCTTATTTCCATGGCAGCAAGGGCCCACATCAATTGAGAAGACTGTCTTACTTTAACTATCCCAGTAGTATTCAGATGATTACATCTGAATTTATTAAGACTATTTAACAGTCAATTTAATCTCTGGTTTAATCTCAGGGTTTGCCTGAAAGGTGAAATTGGGCCATTGTATTTATAGCAAAATTGCAAAACCTCGAATAACATATATCACTTCCCCTGTATACAGCATTGTTCTAACCCTTGAAAATATCTGCTATCTGTGTATTTGCAGGACTGGAGCTAATCTGTTTATGATACTTACCACTTCTAGTTTTTAGGATCTCTAGCAGTTCTGTTTCAGTGAAGATTATTTATGGAAGGATGGTTATTACAAGACAGAAGGTGGATATTGTCCTGGAAGATCTAATTTTCTTTATTTGACCTTGAGAAACTTTGGTTTGAACTTGTGGCTGGCTGGACCTCTTCCTCTATAAAATAGTATTGTTAATACTTTGAATTTTAATAAGATAGTTGTAAGAGCCATTTTATTAGAATCTGAATACACTCTTAAGGATGACTATATGAAGGTGCACATTCTTATTCAGCAGATGTGCTCCGCGTAGGTATTTAATCACAGTTAGTACTCCACTTTAACTAAACCTCACATGTACCTTCTTGCATGACTTCAATGAAGCCTTAATACGAAGGCAACATGCATTTAAGATGGTCCTGCAACTGAGAAAAGAAAAAAAGAGGTCCTCCTTCTTCCTTGGGATATTAGTCATGTCCTCACAATTCCTCCTCTGCTGTGCCAGCACAATAATTTGGTCCCCTGCTCAGTGGCCCAGATAGGGTATCACTGATTTAGCTGAAAAACTAACTTTCAGCTGCATCAGTTCACTATAGGACTGCAGAAATGGTTTTGTTCATACACCACAGTGTTTGTTGAATGCAAGAACAAGCATCCAGAGAGAGGTACAGACTCCTTTTTCTGGGTACACTGCTCAAAGTACACATCAAATTGTAAACTGAAGATAGTCATGATCCAGTCAGCCACAAACTAAAACAACCTTTTTGAACAAGGTATTGCTGCAGTAAAATGCCTTTTACCAGGGCCTATGTCCATAAGCCCAACACAGCAATGAAAAAAACCCCAACATTCTAATCACTTACATGATTTATCAGCTGAATTATTTACTCATATTGTAATCAGGCAAACTGGGTAAACTAATTCACAGTGATGAATTAATACTGTCATTAAGGGAATCAGCTGAACACACACAGACTTTGTAACTCATATGTAACCCTTGAAATTCTTTGCACTGGTAGTATTGAAAATAAACCAGCTAAAAAAAAAGAAGACAAGAACACTCTGTCAGCCCAATCCATTCTTTGTTCAGCTACCCAGGCTCCTTCAGCTGTTCTATCAAAAGGGAGGAGTAGAGATGAGGAAAAGGGGCCAGAGCTGCTGCTGAAAATACATGAGTAGAAATGTTGTTCAAAACCCCAGGTAGAATCTACAGAACTGGTAGAAAAATCCTTGTTATTATTTGAAATGTATATAGAATTATGATAGAAATAAGCAAAATCTGTTTAAATTCGGGGATTTTATTTTTGTTTCTAATCGTAATACATACTGCTTGTTTGAAACCCAGTTTCTCAGTAGATCACTTTTTCAGGTCTTCTACACTCCATTTCATGAGAATTTATGTCTATGGACAGAGTGGTTACCTAAGCAAGAAAAAAGTGATTCATTACTGTAAGTATAGCTATTGTGAGAGAATTACCATAGCTTTTCATAAATTATGTTAATGTTTTTGTCCCCCATAGGAATAACAAATCTAGATCACATAAGATGGACGTAACCATACTTCCGAAGATCTCTCAGCAAATTCTTCTTTTTCCCCCATTTCCCATTACCCTTTGCTCCAGCTAAAAGATACTTCCTTTAGAATAACCATACTAGAAGCAACTCAAGAAAATATCTGGCTTGGAATTTGAGTTGCTTTATGAGAGTAATTTTTGACTGAATACATAAAACCATCCCAAATAAAGATATAAAAAATTAGCTAGAGGACTCTCCTTCTGCCTCAAACATAATTTGGTGCACTTAATCCAAATTATGTAGAATATAAATTTTGAGAAAAAACAAATAATGAGAACAGCTATACGAAGTAATTTCAAGGGCACTTTTAGCTCAGTATCTCACCTAAAATGGCAGTCAACAATGCCAGATGCCTAAGGAGTAATGTCAGAATGAAGAAATCATATAATGCATCTTGGCATCTTCCTTGGCAATTGCACACAGCTTCTAGCAGTGTGGTTTAGGGACTTTCTGAACAAGAGACAATATCTTGGTATTTAATAGCTGTTGACAGACATATTCATCACAAATCCAGTCTTTTTGGACTAATCTAGACTTTTAGTGTCCTTAATACCCAAAGACAGAGTTTCACAACTTAGCTATACTTCAAACACTTTATTTTCTTCTAAGGATTTTTTTTTTTTAATCTTCTACTTGATAAATGTGTTCTAGGTCTTGTATTAGAAGAGACATTTTTCTATGCCTCTCATGACTTTATACATCTGTCATATGCCTCCTTAGCTATAGTCTATTGAATTGCTATTATCTGTGTAAACAGTTCCTTATCTTTGGTAGCTTTGTCACTCATCTGTCTCTACTATTCCAAGAGCATGTTCCATGTGACTCAAAAATACAGAAACGAGAAAAAAGAAGTGTTTCAGACATAAAGATTTATGGACTTGACCACATGGCAAAACTTGGTCTTCAGATGTTCCTGCTCATTGCAAGGGGGGGTGGACTAGATGACCTTACAGGTCCCTTCCAACCCAAACAATTCTATGATTCAGCCAGCTGAAGAAGGCTGAAGTCATGAGTCAGTATTGTCCTACATTAAGCTCAAGTAAAAACATCTTTGTTTCCAAATGGCCAATATACCCACACTTCGGATTTATTTTTCTAACACTCTTTGAAGACTGAGAAGCAGGGACTCTAGTGTTGCTGGAAAAAAATCCAAGACGATATAGGCAAAATGAAATGTGAATAACTTTTTAATGCACAGGTTGAAACTTAATTTAAAGTAAGGGCAACTTCCAATCAGCCCCTTCAACCATCAGATCTCTCAGAAAGCCATCCTGGTGCAGTCAGCATTGAGGGCCAAGAACCTTGGAACCAAGCAACAACACTCAGGTCTGTTCCCTTTAATTTTACACACTGGCCTAAGTCATGAGAGTTACTAGCAGTTATCTGAATTCCTCTGAACTGTTTCCTGGAGCTACTCATCTCTTGCTGTGTGGGATTTTAGGGAGATTAATCTCTGCAGTAAGGTGAATTGGGTGTCTAAAGTTAGATAGGATGGCAAGGTCAAGTACTGTGAAGAACATTTATCTTATTCCTTGTTAAGGCTCAAGTGCATTTGCAAAAGCATCTCAAACAGCTAAGATCTGCTCTCTCTATGCTACAAACCAATTGCAATACTTTCAATAATAACAGTGGTATCGTTACAAAAGACAAAGTGGTCTAAATGCTGCTGTGGCCTGCAGAAGCCGAGCGGCGCCCGGGAGCGCCTTCCGGAGAGTTGGTGGAGCTCGGGGGTCGCTTTGGTTCTCGTCCCCTGCCTCGGAGCAGGCCGGGGCCGGGCGGCGGGAGAGCAGCCGCCCCTGCGGCCTCCGGCTCGCCTGCTCTCCCTCGCCACCGCTGGGGCAGGGCAGGCAGCCCGCTCCCGAGAGGCTGGCTCCAAGCTTCCCACCAAAGGAAGGGGCGATGGCACTAGCGTTTGTACTGGTGGCCGGCGTGTGAGGCCGTGGCGTTATCGGGAGTTTTGCTGCAAGGAGACGGCAGTCGCCTAGGCTTTCTCTGTCCTGACCGATGAGGAGGAATGTGGCTTAGAAGGAGAAGCCGGTGCAGGTGCTCCTGTCATCCTGTTTGTTTTCTTGGATTCGTTTATCTCGTAGCTGCTTTGGGAAAGCAGTTGGTAAATGAAGCTAGTCCTCAAACTTGGTTACTGTTAGCAGTCTTGACCAGAAAGGTACGTGTCAGGTTAGTTTGTGTTAAATTAGGGTATCTCTAGTGGACTTTGATATATACTTCTAGAGTCCAATTTGAGTTGCTTCATTTCTTTTATGGGAGGGTTTATGCTCAGAAACGCAGTATCCAACTTTGTGAGACAACTATATTGAGGCAGAAGAGAAAGGGAACAGTTGGTATTTCTCAGAGGAAGGAACAGAAGGTAGGCCTGATAATAACTGCAAGTTAATCACCATCTTTCTAGTAGTTTGCGAAACAAGTGAAACCAAAGGGTTTGGTTGGATACAAAAATTAGGCTGAATTGGTAGTGGAGTTGCTTATGGATTCCATAGGAAAGAAATGTTCATGTATTGTTATTCTTACATGGGTTTAGGAATTTGCTCATGACACTAAGTTGGTTGTAGTTTTGGAGAAGGATCATGATATTATACAGAAAGATGTGGGTGATGTTTAAGGAATAAATATTAGAAATAAGGTTAAAGTGAAAAATAAAAGATGGGATTGTTATGCTATACGACTAGTATTAATTTTAAATCGAAACAGTTGGCAAAAAGTAAGGAGGTAGACTTGTTGACTGTCAGATGCATATCAGTTACTGAAGTGATGCTTTTGTGAGGAGAGAGTTTTATGAGACTGTGGGACCTTGTATGCCCTCCTGTTAAATGTTTCACAAGTTCAGCACCAGTGTTCAGCAGGGCTGGACTGGCACAAAGCAGGATTACAAAGGCTGGACTGGTCCCTATTTCAGAAAACACCAAGAAAAGTATGGCTTTAATTGCTGAAGCAGAAGGTAGGTTGAGGGGGAATAAAGAGTACCTGGAGAAAGTACCCTTATACCAGTAGGAGGGAATAACTGTTGAAGAACAGTGTTGGCCTGAGAGTGGGAACAGAAGAAATTAAAATAAACTAGTCATGAATAAGCTCAGTGAAGGTGTTGAAAGGTTTCTGACTGAGCAGTTTCACTGCTTTGTTGGGTTTTTTTTAATGGAATAATAAGAGTTCCCCCCACATTCCTCACTGCTCCTAAGATTGTATGGCAGTTATGAGTCCTTAGTCTATGCTGGTATAGACCCCTGTCTTCCTAAAAATAAAAATAAATAAATCTCTGCATATGCCACCTTTATGTACAAATACATATTGGAAAAGGGAGGGTGGGAAGCTGTTGTTAAAGAAAAAAAAATTATTGACAGTGCTATTCTATTTTACCTTAATTTTGTGAAAGAACAGCCTTTTTCTGTATTTGAGCATTGTTACCCTGGTCCATGAGTATGTGTCCTAGAAAGTGAGATCATATAGGTAATTGGTGTATAGTTAACTCAGTGCAATTTCTGTATGTGTGGTCAGCTTTCTAGCTGTAACCAAAAAAAAGTGCATCAACAGCAATAGCTGCTTCTTATCTTTTGAGAGCATAACCATCATACAGCTACAGTTGACTCTGTACAAGGTGTTATGCTAAACTATTTTGGTAAAAATTATACTTATCAAAATAATGCTTCCACAGCTTGATAAACCTGGCTTGGTATATTAAAATGATTTCTCATTATATGTTAGGTGATTAATGCTGGTGTTATGTGCCAGTAGAGAAGGAATGATTATGTTTGATAAATACTCTTTAAAATACAGTGTGAATTATTGTTGGTATTGGTGCTATGGCTTACACTTATTTTTTCCCTGATGAAGATAATGCAGTAGTACCTTGAAATACTGGCAGGAGACTGTCCACTTGATATCTATTTATATCAACAACAGTTCTGAATTTTTTAATGTGCTGGTACACATAATGCTCTAGCAGGGTGGTTTGGAGGGGATCTTTGTTTTTCCTTCTCTTTCAGTTTGAGGTGTTCTGTTCAGTCGTCTGCTTTTGGGGAGGACACAGTAACTGCTGGGAAACTTATATACCTCTTTAGGTGACCACAGAAATATATAAAGCACAATGGGGAAAAAAATATTTTTAAGTTGCTCACAGTAATGTTAAATTTTGTAACAACAATACATAAAGATGATATTATTTTTGAGATATATGCAGTGATGATATATTCTGAAGTATTTTCATTAAGATTATTTTATGTTGTTTTTTAGAATAAACATAAATAATAGAAGTCTTAATTTTTTTATAATTTAAGCCTCCATTTTTTGGTTATATGCCAATATAGGTTATTTGCTATAATATGTCAGTAGGCAGGCAATTAAAGAAGATAAACAGCACAAAAAGCTTGTGAGATTACCCTCTTTGATAAGAATCTGAGGAATGTTACATTTCTTCAATTTGCTGTAGATGGTTTGGTTACTGAAAATGTAACTTAAACCACATTCTTAGAAGCCCTTGGTGTACTTGCATGCTTCTGACATTAATTCATGTTCAGAAAGCTGGTTTGTTTAGATATTTTAAATCTGAAATTGCAAATGGAATGAAGAATTTTTATAATAAGCATCGTGGTATTCCATGTGGAATAATACCATTTGAAAATTTTTTAACTTAAGATGAGAACTATTTCTGAATCTGTTACTCGTGTGTTTTGGGTTCTTTTTCCCCATGAATTGGTGTATGTGCCTTAGTTCTCAGTTAATTGGTACTGGTAACAATGTTAGTTGGTACTGGATAAAATAGTGGGTTTTATCTGTGCAGATATATTAAAGCTAAATATACTGGTACATAAAAGACATTTAATGTTAAGAATTAGTACTGGAAAGATCTAATTTTGAATTATGAAAAGAGAACATTGAAATATGTCATTGTCTCAATAATTTAGCTCAGATTAATAACTGCTTGTGACTGATACAGTTATTCATTAAAAGTAGAATTGGATTTCTTATTTGGAGATATTTTCCCCTCATATTTACGATATACATGGAAACAATCAAAACTCGGTTTCATTAAATGGTATTAAAAATGATCATAGGAACTACAATTATTGTAAGAAAAACCCAGGTTCAGACCAGGAGCAGAGACTCCCCCTCATCTGTCAGGTGGTTCATCTAGGTTAAAACTTCAATATAATATCTGGTCCTCTGGGCAATGAATTATGGCTACATTGTGGATAAAAAAAAGACCAGTCTTAAGACAATAAGCATGCAGTACTTCTAAATGCAAGTTATAACCTTTAGCTGGAATCCTCTGAATGTGAACACAAGTAAATAGTTTCTTTTTTTAGTTTAGAAGTTTTTTTAAAATTCAAGGAAAAAATTAAGTCCTTCTGCATTGCTTGGCTTTTCAAACATCTGTTGGAGTTCTTGTTGACCTATTACAAAATAACTTTGGCCTATGTTTGGAAATTTTTTTTTTTGGTTATTTAAAATCATGTTATTTGGAGATCTTTATCTTTTAAAAACTTTTTCCCTCAGAGAAAGTTTAGTATCTATGGAAGGGGAACCAACCCTAGGCAAGGGTCAGCTTTTGCTAGGCTTCCAAAGCTGCAAAACTTGGAGTGTTCTCTAAATTGAAGTGTAGAAGTCTTAGAACTCTGGAGGAGATACAGAGAGGCTCTTGGGTTGTCTCTCCTCTGTTGACCTTAGAGAAAGCAAATTGAAGTTAAAGATAAGCTTGAATTGTTTCCCTAACTGTGTTAGAGGTCAAACTTAAATGCTTTGTATCTCTCTCTGCTACAGTTCCCTGGAATGGGATTACTGAGCTTTCACTACAAAGTCGTTGCTTGTATCTAGAAGTAGCAAAAAGAAAAGGCTAAATGTTGTGTTAAATGCTTGACATTACTGAGTAAAAATAAATGTCATCTCTTCTTGTTTTGTTTTTGTTCCAGCATGTTCAGAGTTTTCCCAGAGGTCCTGTGAAGAATGTCTAAAAAATGTTTCGGTAAGATTTTTAACGTCTTTTTTGATTGAGAATTTGATGATTTTTCCACAATATGAAATTAAGATGTTAGGGTTTGACTGTTGGAGTGTGGCGTGTTTGCTTTGTTTTTAATGGTGAATCTAGTCAAACTACCCATAATAAGAGGAAGTCAAGATCAGTCACTTTTAGTATCTGTTCTTATTTAAATGGTAGAGTCAGCTGATGTGCTGCTTCCCCTCTGTTATACTCAATGCCAGTGTTCTTTCAGTTTGCCAGGGTTGGTCCATGATTTGGTCGCTCAGGGTATTTCTCTGCTTTTTCTGGAGACGACAGACCCTGTAGAATCCAGGCTTCCAGTTTCAGTGTGTGCTCAATGCTTTCATAGTGCACTTGAACAAGTTGGTGTTGCTGCTGGTTTAGACTCATCCTCATTTTGCAAGCAGCGCTTAGTTAAGTTTACATCTTTATACAAGGAAACTGAATAAACCGAATCTTATGTGGCTAAACCACCTACATTTCTTGTATGCTGAATAGGAGAACTGGGAAATTAATGTAAATAAACTAGAAATGCCTTTCTCTGGAGATGCCCCAAGGAATCCAGGCAGACTGGATCAGTGCTTTGTAGATGTTCAGACGTGTCGGCCTCTCTTCTGACTACCACAGACCACAAGTGCTTAAGACTGCCACGTTGGGTCACTGTTCTGGTAGCGAAGTGTTTAGATTTCCAGTGAGATTGCAACAGTGCAGACACTTAATAAAATTTATTTCTCTGTCTTTTGCTGAATTTATTGCTCTGTCCTTTGATCTCCACTATAAGGGTTGTGATAAGTGTGCAAAAGGTGCCCATACCTGCAGAGTAGAAGAAACTCTCATGTTTAAAGGGAGAGGTTGTCTCAGATTCTAACTTCAGATGTCACTGAAAAGAAGTATTTCAGGAGTCTTTAGGTTACATAAGTTACTGCAAAACTTTTGCTAGGAAAATGGAGAAATATCTGAACTTACCTGTTTTGTGCTTGTCTTATGCATCCTTTGGCTTTATAATAGAAAAATATTAATCATCTTGTTCTGATGTGATTATTGTGTGCTGTCAGACCCATATAATAGTTCAGCACTACCACTTGTGTGACTGTCACTTTAAATAAGTGCTGCCGCTGCTGCTGCAGGTAGATGAGCGCAACTTTTATTAACCTGAGAGACATGTTCACCTTGAGAGAAATAAATCCTTTAGCTGTGTTTGTGTACTGAAGACACTGTAACAGAATTAGATACGTTATTTCCAGAATCTGTCAAACCACTAACATTGTCCAGGCTTATTCTGGTGACAGTGATGGATGATTCAGGGCAACTGCTTCAATAGTGTCAGTGTTAACCTTGAAGAAAGCAGTTTAGACTTGATTCAGACAATTCGCACATATGTTAAAAAAAAAAAGCTACAGAATAAAGCCATGAGCAGTTGTGTTAACAATACAAAAGCAATGGATTGCTGAAGTTACTTTAATTGCTTTGGTAGAAAAAATCAGGTTTTCATATTGGTGATAATATAGATAGCAGCAGCAGATAAAAACGAAAATTAGACATTTGAATAGATTAAAAAATTCCAAACAAACCTGAAAATGTTGTAATTTTATTGAGTTAAACAGAACTTTAATTCAAAATGCTCAAACTTTGTTTATCATAATTGCAGTTGGGTTGGTCTTCAGATCTGATGAATACCTGTTTTCTCATCAATAAGTTCTGAGTGGTAATTTTACAAATACGCTGTTGCATTTCATCTTATTCCTTACAATATGGTACATTGAAAAATGGCACAAGTGTTTTAATTGGAGCTGTTGAATCCTGAAACTCAATTTATTTACTTTGAAGAAATATTTACTACTATGAGTAGCGGATTATCAGGTGTGTTAAAATTTGAGAACTTTATCTGCTACCAGATAATGTGTAAATATCTATTGATTAACATCTTGAGCATGTTTCTAACTTCATATGAAGATAAAATACATAATGCGAGCACTAGTTAAAGGTAGGACTATATTTTAAAATCTCGTGCATGTCTAGAGCCTCAGCATTCTGGAGGATTTTCCAAAGTCTCATTTTTAACTTCTGAGTAGTCTACTAACACACTTTTCCCTTCTGCTTTTTTTTTAATCATTCTCACTTTTGTCCTAATAACAAATGTATGGAATCTAAAGTCTTGTAGCAAACGGGTTTTAGGCAAGCTAGGCTTTAAAAAAAAAAAAAAAAAAAAAAAAAAAGCAGCTAACAACAGCTATAGGAAACTATATGGTCAATAAATACAGTCAATTTTTTTGAAGGAAAGGTGGGGATGGTAGTCACTTGTGTGACTACATCTATCTGATTATCGAGGAAGAAACATTCGTTTTGTGTTTGTAGTTGCTATCTTACCTCTTCTGAGAATGTCCTTAAAATGAGTGTGGACTGAATTAATGATGCTGCACTTCATTATCCATGTGAGACTCTACTAAAATAAAGTCAGTGATATTCATCAGAGTGTGAATGTGGTTACTAGCATACGCTGCAAAAGATATATGATTTACTTCTAAATAAAATAAAATCTTTTTAGTTGTCATTTTTCGATTACGTAGGTGAGGATCAGAGTTAAGGAAATGTTTCTCCCTCAGGTGTTTAGGCTTTTTTCTAACTGGATTTCTAACTGACTCAATTGGGAATGAGTCAATTGAAATATTTTCTCTTACTTCAGCCTCTGAACCAATGAGTAGCTGCATTAGGTATTGCCTTTTGGGCTACACACGTTTTTAACAGCTACTTGCAGTAGTCTCCCTCGGAATGATAACATTGGCCTTTCTGTGCTTCTAGTTGTCACCAACAGTATAGAGTCATTCAGGTTAGAAGAGATCTCCTGAGTCATCTAGCTCAGCCTCCTACTCAAAACAGAGTCAGCATTACATTTGAACAGAGTTTAACAATGATCTTTAGTCTGCCCCCATTAATCATTATTTTTGAACTGTTAATTCTTATTAAATAATTGATCCAACAAAAATAACCATGTTCTCATCTAACATCCTTGATTAAAATTAAAACTTAGGAGGGCAGGTTTTTGTAAAAGATTATTTTATCTTCTTAATTACTTTTGTTGATGTGTCTTTAGGGGTACGTTTGACTTGTACAGTGTGCGAATTACAAAATAGGAATGCATCTTTCATGTCTGTCTCCACTTTTTTCAGGAGAGCAGAATCTACTTCAAACAGTTTCTATTTTATGTTTTCTAACCTTTTAGAGCAAGATAACATACTTTGTGCAATTGAGGATGTATGACAGAGATGTTCTTGATAGTACTGTTAGATAAAGCATAGTTCCTGGATGAGCTGTCTTTATAATGAATCTGAAAAATCCCTGTTCTGTCAAGGATTCCTGTTAGTATCACCCAAAACTTCTTCACTGGTTGAGTTGTGTGGTAAAGGAATTTTGAATGAGTATTTTAACAGATGAAAAACAAAACTTAAGCCTGATGCTTAGGGGTAGCATAAAAAGCAGAAATATGTTTGTATTGTAACTATAATACATGTAATAAACTTAAAATTTAAAAAATATCCAGATATATGTGTGCACAATTAAGATACCCAACGTACATTGCAAGACAGATCAGATAAGGCTGTATCTCTTTATTACCTTGAAGCAAAACTCCCTGTAGAATTATAAGGGTCCTTTATTGTTTTTGTTCTGTTGATAGTCAAATACAGGGCTGAAGTAAGATTGTAAGTGTATTTGTATTCCTTAAAGATACCGGATGTTTTAAAATTCTGAACAGTTGGCTTTCTGGTTTTGTATTGTTAATTTCAGTAATTATAAACCCAAAGTCATTTTATCCTCCACTATACAGAGCACCTCTGTGTTCCCAAATATTTTCAAGCTACTGTAAGTATTTATTACCTATAAGTACACTTTGTATTTATTCACAATTCAGTTTAAGCTTACTTAGGAATTGTACCACTCTGTAAGTTTTGTACTACAAAGCATATTCAATATATCCCTAAAATATTGTACTCAAGAATTCTGTCTGTGGAGAGGAGCACTAAACTGTAAACTGTTTTTGAAGATCAGTAATTTGGGGTGTTTTTGTTTCTTTTGCACAGTGCCTTTGGTGTTACACCAACAACACTTGTATTGATTACCCTGTAAGAAGCATTCTTCCATCATCTTCATTATGTTCCCTCTCAAATGCTCGATGGGGAGTTTGCTGGAGTAGGTACTAATTTTACTTTTGCTGTAGATAATTACTTTAATTGTACTGATAAATAAGAGTTACTAGAGCTGTTTCCTGATTATTTGGAGGGGTGGAGGGTGGAAGCAGTGGTTATGATTGGGAACAATGATCTCTAATCTTCTGGACTTCCAAACAGTCATTTTTGAGGGGTCTTTGCGAACAGCCAGCATAGTTGTGTTTATCCAGTGGTTTTAAAACATTTACTATGTAGTGAAGTTCTGTGGAGTCTAGACTGGGAACTGGTGGCATTGGTATGTTCCAGGTATTTTATGGACATAGTCAGGATTTGCCTTTCTTAAACCATATTTCTGAGATACAAAGAAATAAGGTCATTCCCTGTTGATAAAAGCCAACCATTCTTACCTTTTTAAAGTTCCTTAATGTTGAATGATGTGCATGATCCAGTTTTGATAGTATGTTCCAGTGGCAGCAGTGAACCAACACCAGGGGAATGGAGCCACCCAAAAAATCTTGGAATGCTGGTTTTGCTTAAAGAACTGAAGAAACAGTGTCATCTGAGTGCCGAAGACAATGCAGTTAAAAACAAAGCTGCAGAGTGCTGCTGTAGATTGTAGTACTGCATAATTTAACTGTTCTTAAATATCCTTTTGCTTTGCATGTTGTATTGCAAAATACTGTACGGAACATATGCTGCCATTGGACTGAAATCTTTGGAGCTGTTTTTGCAATACCCTGTATACAGGTCTGAAGTCAGACTAGACTGGAACAGAGAAAGCTTGGCATATGAAGTAAGAGTACAGCTTCAGTCCAGCAAAGCAGACTTGCTGCTTTCTGTGCATTTGCTTATGAACACCAGGAGGCTAAAGAATAAAAACAAGTGGGATGAAGTATCAGTGACTGTTAACTGTAAATTAGAAGAAAGTTATCATGCTTAGAGCAGTGATATTATGCAGTAGTCTAATTTAGAGTAGCAGAAGTAGAGGATTGCTCTTAAAATGGAATGCACAAGTTTTTGAACGCTACCACTTGATAAAGTGGTATTTACCCCTGCAAACAGAGGGACTAGATTGTACGGTACAGGAGAACTTCACCAATTCTTTGTTCTTAGCAGCAGGGCTCTGCTTTGTTTTGTGAGAGAAGGCATTTATGCTTAAATTTCTGGAGTTTTTTAGAGCTACAGAAGGTATATAATTTCACTGATAAGGCATACTTTTAAGGAAATTGGGCTTTCAATATTATAGTAAATGCTGTCACTGTGAAATGTTTAGCAATCTTTTTCTAGAAGTGTGCTGTGTTGACTCCTGCCAAAAGCTAAGTGCCCACACAGCTGCTTGCTTGCTTCTTCCCTCCCCTGGCCCCCGTGGGATGGGGGGAGAAAATAGAAAGAACAAAACCAAGGAAGCTCATGGATTGAGATAAAGATGGCTTAATAGGTGAAGGAAAAAGGGGGAGAGGGGAAAAAAAGCAAAGGAGATTGCTTACAACATCCCACAGGCAGACTGATTCCCAGCCAATTTCCGAACAATAGTCACCTTGGAAGCCAGGTACACTTTCCACTTCTTCCGTTGCCTCTGGTTTTATTGCTGATCATGGCATTATATGGTGTGGAATACCCTTCTGGTCAGTTTAGGCCAGCTGTTCTGGCAGTGTCAACTCCTGACCTCTCTAATCTCTTGCCTACCTTCAGCCCTACTCACTGGAGGAAAAAGAAAATCTTGATGCTCTTCAAGCCTGTTCAGCAACAGCCAAAAGATTGGTGTGTTTTCAACACTGTTAGCCAGAAATCCAAAACATGACATCATACCAGCTGCTATGAAGAAAGTTAACTCTCAGCCACACCCAGTACAGAAATACATGTCCTTTTTCAAAGTGGTGATTGCAGGTATCTGCTGATACTAAGGGTGTTCTTGACAGTTTATTCCTACTGTAGAAATGGCTTCTAGCCTGGGTGCCATTTGTGTTTCTAGATTGAATGTAGTTTAAATGCAGAATGAAAACTTTGTAATGGAACACATTCTCAGCAGAAGTGGAGAAAGAAAAAAAAAACAAAAAACAAACCAACCCCAAAACAATAACGAAAAACCTCAGATAGGCATTTCCTTAATAGTGGGGTTTTGGGTATTTTTTTGCAAATTATATGCTGCCATGTGCCATGGGGGTATATAGATTTAGGGAGACTGCCCTCTTTGGACACAGCAGGGAAATTAATTACCTTGTGAGCATGGTGATCGTTTTTCTTTTTGCAAATAAAATAAAGAGCATTGGCTTAGTATTGCTGAAAATAAAGATGAATATTGCAACTCTAAGACAAAAACGAATGACTGGCTTTCAGTTACAGTTTTATATGAATAAGACACTGATAGATTGTTAACCAGGAGTGAAGAAAAAAGAACTGTATAGAAGCAGCATAATACAAAGTAGCTTAATTATATTGTTTTTCAGGAATAATAAGCAAATTAAATAGTGGAGACAGGAATGCAGACTGGAAACGGTCTTTTTCTGCACTTTAGGTTCAAAATATTTTTTTGCTTCAATTAAATTGTATACTTTAAAAAAAATGGAGATCAAACCCTTTTTTTTTTTATTACTTCACTGAGTGAAGTATATGTAATCACTTGTAACTTGTAGAGAAGTAACAGTGGTATGGTGAAATGTATTACTTCAGAATTTAGATGTTCAGAATTTACTTGTGTATTGTAACTAGAAGTGATGTATTAATTTGTATTATAAACTGCACCAAGTAAATTATATCACAGAAGGAAAAATATTTGCTAGGATCTAATCTTTGGCAAGATCTGTGAAGGATGTGCCTTGAGCAGACATGAGTTGGTAAGATCTGTAGAGGAGTAACAGACTCTTTGGCTTGTGCATGTGATCAGATAGGACAGGCCTTCTTAACTTCAGTTGCTAAATTTGACTGTCTATCATTAGTGCCCTGCAGCAGTGAAAAGTGCATTGCAGCTACTTTGTATTGCTACAGCACCATGAAGCTGTTGAATCTGACAGAGTTCAGAGAGATTTATGTGGGAGAAGACAGCTTCCCTGCCCCCTCCCCCATCCTGCTTTAAAATAGATAGTGTGGGGAGAGGTGTTTAGTTTTTATCTCTGTTGTTAAAACTTCCCTAAATTATTTCATTATGTACTTTGTTAGGTCCTTTAAATAACTCCTCAAAGTTGTGTCTATAGCTTTGCTTATATCATCCTGTTTGCTTTCTTCTTGGGCCTCACTGTTTTTCTAGATCAGGTTTCTGATTCTTTTTTATGAATGAGGTCCTGTCCTGGTTTAGACCAGCTACAGTTGTTATAGTGTATGCTGTTGGAATAATAGCCCACTCTCCATTTGTTAATCATTCTTTAGATGTAGAAGTTGAATTAGCAGTTTTATTGAGTTTTATGTTGGCTCCTTCAAATCATCTGCCATTGAGAAAGAGCAAAATGAAATAAGATGACAAACTGCTGCATGTAATGTGTGTATGCTACTGCTGCATCTATATGACTTTTGTTCATGCTGTACATGGGCTAAGGTCATGACTGGGAGGGTGGAACTGTGGAATCACAGATATGTATCCTATAAAGTATTACAGGATAACTTGATTTGGTATATGTAAAGAGCAATTTTATTTAATGTATGTTCAGTGTAGATTATGCATAGTTGCAATATTTGAATGTCATATGCTGAGTTTTAACTGGGGTAGATGCGCAGAACTGTGTTTGATTTTTCTTTTTTTTTCTTTTCATAGAGAGATGAAAAAATGCTTGGGAAGGAGGGGAAGAATTATCAGAAAGATAAATATTGATGTTGGAGTCTAACAAGTTGAATATATTCATATTTTTCAGTAAACTTTGAGGCTTTAATTATTGCCATAGCTGTAGTAGCTGGACTCATTCTGCTGTCCGTAGCAGTCTGTTGCTGTTACTGCTGTTACTGCAGAAGGCGTTCCAGGAGGTAAATACATCTATTTGTTTTCTTTATTAGCTTTAGGTGCTGGTCTTCCATACCTACCTACAATTTTTACTCTCCAGTATACTAAGAATCTTTCAATTTGGAAGCAGTTTTGGTCACTTTGCTGCATTTGTTTGAGACACAACAAAAAAGAGGTGTTCAGTACAGACAGTATAACTGGAAATAATGCTGGAATGGCATTGAAATCATGTTATTAAAGAACACATCTATGATGCTACGACTACGTAAGCTATTGCTTTACACTTCTACATTTTATACTTCCTTGTTAAGACTGGACATGAAATATTTCCATGGCCACATAAATACTTGCTACTTGTAGTAACAGAACAAGTAATTTATTTCAAGGCAAGCTTATGGTGGGTAACAGGTAACTGAGGAACAATGTCCTACAGCACTTGGTATCCGTGCTTCAGAATTTGCTCTCGGATCTGTCAGCAGTCAGTATCTAAGTAATTAGCTGTCTTTGCCAATTCAACAAAATATTCTAAGTGTGAGATGATACTTTTTTTCTCTAAGATACTAAGAATGACTTGTTTTCGAGTAAAGTAATACTGCAAAAATTAAATGTTTCTCTAATTGACTAAGATCCTTCAAAGGGAGGAAAATAGTTGATGAGTAGCTAAAATAGGTAAGTCAGTGCTGCCATGTGAAGTGACCAGTGCTTATTCTCTAGTGAAATGCCTGGAAATCTTTATTTATCAGGACACTACAATATGCTTCCTTCTATTACTGACATTTTAGAGTTCAGGTTTTCAGTCAGTGTAGTTTCAGATAGCTCTGTTCCTTTTGTCCTTCAGTACTTCTCGCGTGAACAAAATGTGGACCTTATTTCTTGATCTAATATTTCTATACTATTTCACATATCTGTATTTCATTGTTCTTTGTTTGAGGGTTGGTGTTTTTAAAGAACTTATGCAGCTATACAGTGTTTAGTACTGACCTTCAAGCCAGAGGAATATGGTACACTTGTGGTTTTAAAGAAAGGAGAAAATAATTGTCAATATCATGTCATTCTCTTCTCTATTCCCTGAGGAAAATACATGCACCTGTTCTGTTGGTAGATTGGTCTACCAAATCTGTCCTAGTGCACAAAGTGATAACTCCTTAGCCCTGTGCTGATAAGCCCTGAAGATGTATAGAACTGTTTTAGATTTTATGTAAGATCTGCTGATGTCCTCCGCAGAAGAACTGAGTAGGCAGGCCCCTGTGGCTGACATGCCAACAAATAAAGCTTGATTCCTGTGAAAAGAGAGATCTGTGCCAGACTTCAGTTTTAGTAGCTAAGTCGTCAATCAGTACTGTAACATTCTAAAAATAGAGGGTTAGTTGAGAGTCATCTTATGCCAGGACTCCAAAAGTGTCAAGCTTAATCTTCTGACACTTAAAGGATTTAAAGATCTTGTCAGAGTGGGGTCCAGCTTATTTTGGGAGGATTCAAAATGTATTATTACACAGAAGCCTGATATATTGCTGGCTTTAAATTCACTGAGTCTCAGCAGGAATTCTTTTGCTCTCTGCTTCCTCAGTTTTGGGGACGACTCTTCCACAAAATAAACATTTTTAATGAATTGGAAGAAGGAAAATGTGTAGAAATGTAGAATTATATCTGTATTACTGACATCTTAGATGTGTCATCTTAGGTGTAACCTTGTTTTACAGCAATGTCAGTATTCCTTCTAAGTTTTTAAGCCATCACTTATATTTTCCTTGAACACAGAGAATTCTTAGGTGCACTAATTCCCACATCAATAATGTAGCTGGTTCACCCAAGTCCATCCCTACCACAGGAATCCTAGGACTATTGGTGCATTGTTACAAACACATGATAAAAATAATGGTCTTTGAGTGGTATTAATGACACTATACTAAATAAACTCTCTTGAATGTCTTCAGTTTAACAACCACTTTTTTATTTGTATAGTTTCAGACTTTCTGAATTTTGAAGAAAGATTAAATTCCTTCAGAGGGTCTAGAAAACAGAAGATATTTAATGCTTTTTTAATTACAGGGCAAAAATGTGTTTTCTGAATCCTACTGTATGCTTGGCAACATCAATGTGAAGTGAGACCATTGCATAGTTTTAAGACACTAGGGTCTCTAGCAAAGTAATTTTACAGAAAGGTGCCCAAGAATGGGAGCTTCTAGTCTTTCTGGACATGCTAATGTGGGGAGTTGATTAGTTTTACAAAAGGGTCTAACATTGTTTTCCGATAAAGGTGACTTGTTGCATCTGTTTCCTGCTGCTACACTCCCCCAAGATTTTCCTAATTCTTTATGTGGAAACAAGAAAGGAAGAACTAGAAGATTACAAGGATTCTGAATTACTGGGTTGTATTTGAATGACGAAGATGTTCAAAGAGATGTATGGACTGATTGAGCGGATAGAAAACTTGAGTTCAGATTCCCAGTTCTGGTGTGTCTGAATTGTCTTACAACAGTTGACATGCTGTAATTAACCACTAGATGTCACTCTTGCTTAACTTGTATGTTACTGCAGATGTGTGGTACTACAACTGTTCATTTCTTTATTAGCGGGTGTATTCATATTGTAAATATTTATATCAAACATCTTCAGATAGTGCATTCAGTTTGGAAAAATTATTAACACCTGGGGAAGCATGGCAGGTGTCCATTCACTGATCCTGAAGAATCACTATTAATTCTGTCAGAAAAAAACCCCAAATATAGTTTGGCATTTGCTTTAGAGTTCTACCATTCTTATGTAGTCTATCTAATGGTTAAGTGAAGTTGAGCTTTCTCCAAGGTAGGTCACAAAGCTTAAGTCCCTGTGTTCAGCAGAGCATATCTGCATATGCACAGCTCAGATGTACTGTTTTCTGGAATCACACAGCTGATGCATTCAGGTAAATCCTTGCTCATTCCAGAACAGGGAAGGCAGCTGCCAAGGCAATTCATGCAGACTGCTTTCCTGGAGGCAGTTTGAGATTGGATAGTGATCGTTGTTGGAAAGATAAATTGTTCTGGCATCAAAGGCTTATGAACCATCAATCTTCTTCCAGGGGGCAAGAATGGTCTTAACTGTGCATGCGCAGTACACTTACTCTAAAATGGGGTGTGACACTGGGGAAAATGGCAAGTAGGAGTCCTGCTTCTGCAACCTGTTCCTAAGAGGCTTTAAATTGTTCTGTGGAATCTCAAGGGCACGTTACTGCAGTGAGTGAAACATTTGGGTATTATAAAATGTAAAAGGGCAATTCTACAAATTTGTCAATTATACTTACTCAGCAATGAAATTTTACGTGGCTGTGAAGAAGTATCTCGGGTCAGACTAGAAATTCTTATAGAAAATAAGTCAAATGACTACACAGTGATTGCCTAGCAGTGAAGTTGCTTTTTCCTCTTATGCTTTCCTTCACTCCTTATTTTTGTAGTAGTACAGATGAAGAAGAAGAACGGTTAGCTCAAAAGAGAGAGGAACAAAGGCTGCAGTCTCTTCAGAGGTAAGTCTTGACAGCTTGATATATAGTTATATGCTTCCTGGTGATACAGGATTATTTTGCCCTTCTAAGGAATGCATGGAGTACTAAACAAAGAGACATTGTGGAGTTAGGCATGACAATGTCAGGTTCTTAGAAAACAGGCCTTACTGTGAGATTTATGAACCTGATTAGGACCCTGTATTTCCGTGAGTGAACAGAGTGGACCTGCTCACCCTGGCAGTTACCATAAGTGTTCTGTGCCAGCTGAGAGCAAACAGGAAGGATGGGTCAGAAGTCTTGTCACTTCTCTCCTGTACTGCTGCTTGTCTGTGGCATGACTTAATGCCAAAGTGAGGCTGGGATTCAGAGGGAAAAAATGCTTTTTGGATTCATTCGGTAACTGGTTCTTTTGCTTTTAAAATCTGGCTGGGAAAGGTAGAGAAGTTGATGAGATACCTCTTAGAAATTTTGCTCAGGAAATGGAAAACTGTGGTTCAGCTCTCACTTCAGACTTAATAAAAAGGATGGAAATATGGAATTAAAGCTGTAGTGCTGTGTGGAAAAGTGCCAGAGTCAGCAGTAATACAGTGCTGCTCTCAGTGAGAACAGCATTCCTCCAAATATAGGTGTTTATGGCTTAGCTCTCCAGTGACTCTTCATGGTTTTTATATTATTCTTTAGATAAACAATTTTTGTAGGTAGGACTGTGATACCTGGTACAAGCCCAATGTGCCTTTTGAATCATACTTCATTTCATGGTCTTTGTTTTGGAGATTCACAGTGGATTAGCTTCAGCAAGACAAGAGGGGAGTCCTAACCAAACTAATTCTAGGCTTGGAGCTGTCAGGTGTGGGTTTGAACCCCTACAGACTGACAAGGAAATTGATCTTGGATTTGCCACTTCACGGTTATGTTCTCGAAATACTCGGCTGCCAAGTAACAGGTGGGCACCTTCACTGCCTTGCTGATGCCTGCTGTTTTCTGGTGAACTCTGATTGTTTACATGAGCAAGGGCTGCAGGGAGCAAGGCATACTTCCAGATGAGACCTCCTGTGGAGCCTTTGCATGAAGTCATTAAGTTTCTCTATTACAAATGTGCATAAGACAACAAGGTGGATATGCTTGGTTTGCTCAAACATTTACGTTTCTGACTGGGAACAAAAGTGGGAGCCAATAAGGTTCTCTTACAGATGTACCTGCTGTCACTCATATCTCTGGCAGAAGCTGGGACAATCGCTCCATGCAAATCTGTTCTGTGGTTCTGAACTGCCAGGTTATATAAGCAAATACAGCAACTGTTTGCCCGAATCTGACAACAGTTACTGCTCTGAAGTAGGTACTGTGATATCAGGAGGCAGAATAGATTCTGTTGTAATGGGTTACATTGATGTGTCCTTCAGCGTTATATAAAATTCTGAAATTTGTTGGCAGTAGAATGAATTAGAATAGGATACAATGGGGACATTTGACAAAGTGTTTCTCAGAGCTTGACTCAGTGCAAAGCTTGAATGGTTACTTTTGGTTTTATGATGTTGATTTTTTTTTTTTTGAGCTATTACGTACTGGCATTTTAATACATCTATTTTAGTTTTCTACTAGCTCTATATTACAGTTTAGTAGCTTAAACTTTCCAAATTTAAACTTACCAAATTGTCTTTGTTCTACACATTAATGGAACAGACTTACTGTTGAAGTAATGTGTATTCTGCATTTGTACTTTTTTAGGAAAGTATAAGCTTAAAAGTAACTTTCTGTGGAGGGAAGAGAGGAATTATGTCTCTTAGTGTAGTTCAGTTAAAACTAGTGTTTTTAAGAAAAAAAATTGGTATAATGGTGTCACTAATTTAACCCTTTAGATTGTGTGTAAAGGCATTCTACTTTTGTTTTAACTGCAAGCTGCTGATGCAAAGAGCATTCTTACTTCTCATTCTTGTTCAAGGTATAACATTCCTTAGCTCTGTTCTCTGCCAAATGTGTTTTGCAGAGAGCTATTCACATTTCTGTGGAGTTTTTGTGGGTTTTTTATTCCGTTGTATGAGTGCAGTCTCGGCATGTGTCCATAAGATTGCTGTGATCAACAGGATGTAAGGACAGCATGAATCCAGGGATGGGAGAAAAGCAAGGAAAGTGTTTATTTGGGGACAGAGTAGAAAGTGGTACTTCCCCTTTCACCACTGCCAAGGTAGTGTCAAACTTTATCCAAGAAGAGAATGAATGCAGATTTGTTTTTCATGAACATCTTGATTTGTGAGCTGAAAGTGTCATACTTGAATGGGCACAGAAGGATAAGAAATAGGTGGGCAATTTAGGAAATACATTTAGCTCACACATAGTCATACCACCCATTTTCTCAGATAAGTGATGTTCAGAACTTGCAATGGATCAGAAAAAAAGGGAAATTTTTCACCTGTTAATCCACTTCTAAATAGTCACAGCACAAGAAGCAGAATGCTAGTGTGAAGGTGATTTTTCTCCTATAATGCTTTAGAGGAGAACAATAATATTCTTATGCTACATTGTTCAGTTAAATCAACACTTACCTATGTTTATTATAAAGGAAAGGCTCATGACCAGTTGCATAGGGGATGATTGTGTACCATAACCTTTCTACTGTGATTTGTGTATCCACTTTAAATTCTTGGTGCAGTTAATTTGTAGGAAGTCTGATACTTCTGAAGTGTAGTGTTTGCTATGAAATTAGCGACACGGAGGTAAGACCAACTCCATTCCTGAATTAAGCCTAGGAACAAGGATTGCTCTGCCAGAATGATTACTGCAGCCTTAGAGCAGCAGCTCTCTTTCCTAGCTTGTCTCAGGAGTGTGTCTGTGAAACAGAAACTATTCTAATTGCAGGAGAGAGCTTAGCAGCAGCCCTGGGGTATTTCCCGTGTTCTGAACATGCGTACCTACTGTTTGTGTGGTTAGGAGGTCATGGGAAAATGCGAGGAGTAGGCCACTTCAGTGATCAGAACACCTCACCCCACGTAGTGCTTGCTTCCTATAAGTCCTGTAAGGAGGATGAATTGCTGGTAGCAGGCTGTAGAACAGATTAGTAGTCTCAGCAAGCCATTTCTGATGAGCAAACTGCAGAGGAAAACACTGAATTGTATTATGTAGTCTTTTCTTTCTACAACCTGTGAGTTTTTCACATAGCTTATACAAATAGCTGGATAAATATTTAGATAAGTAGCATGGGAGGAAAATAGACACAGCATTGACCTGGTGTCTGTTTGTTTTCTTGTATATTTCTTTTTGTGGGATACAGCTACTTCATGACCCTACCTACAGTACTGTTTTGGGGCCTTCAACATAAGGAGGACAGGATCAGGTGGAGCAGGTCCAGAGGAGGGCCATGAGGATGATCAGGGGGCTGGTGCCACCTCCCTTATGAGGCCAGGATGAGAGAGTTGGGATTCTTCAGCCTGAAGAAGAAAAGGCTCCAGGGAGACCGTATAGCGGCCTTCCAGTACTTAAAGGGGGCTACAGGAAAGATGGGGAGGGACTCTTCATCAGGGAGTGTAGTGATAGGATGAGGGGTAATGGTTTTAAACTGAAAGAGGGTAGATGTAGTTTAGATATTAGGAAGAAATCTTTCCTATGAGGGTGGTGAGGCTCTGGACCAGGTTGCCCAGAGAAGCTGTGTCTGCCCCCTCCCTGGCAGTGTTCAAGGCCAGGTTGGATGGGGCTTTGAGCAACTGGGTCTAGTGGGAGGTGTCCCTGCCCATGGCAGTGGGGTTGGAATGAGATGATCTTTGAGGTCCCTTCCAACCCAAACCATTCTTTGAGTCTATATACAGCTGTTCATATCAGTTGCCAATGCAGGAACAACAGAATTAGCCTGAGCTTAATTTCATGATTTCATTAGTAAATGGTAAAAACAAAGGAAGGAGGCCAAAGTTGCATAGTGCATGATTTTTATTTTGCAAGCTTCAAGATAATTGCGGCATCTAGTATTTTCTGGCTTTTCAGGTACACAGTAAATGTCTGCTTTTAAGTTTAAGATTTGTGTTAAAATTCAGTTTTACAGTTACTTAGGAAGTGTCGTTCTGGAATACCTAGATGGCTGTTAGAATGAAGAGTAAGGGTAATGACATTGGCCTCGTGCTTGTCTTCACAAGAACACAACTAGCTGTCACTTCACTGAGAAGCCTGAAAATCACTGCTGATATCTAAAGTTTGCACTCATAGTGAGTGGAAGGAAACCTGGAGTTCAGTTTTTGACTAATATTGAAGGAAAACAGGTATCTTACTGGATAGCTTTAGTCCTTTATTTGACTTCACAACATCTCTAACATGAAAAATCATTTTTAAACATAGGATCAAGTAGTGAGTCTTTCCGTATGCTCATTTAGTTATTTGCAGCTGCAAATAGATGGTACTTTTGTATGTTAGATTTATATAACTTATAAACCATGATTTATATGTTATAAACTTATAAACTGATGAAAAGCAATGAGGTCTTGAATGAGAAACTGCCAAGTATAATTTGGTCGTGTACTGGTACGGGAGAACAAAGGGAGGGGGGGGGTAAGAAAGGAATGCAGTTCATTTGTGAAGAACCAAGTATGGGAAATGATGTGAATTGTTAGTATTAGGAAAAATATCTTCTCAGCTTACAGCAGTGGGGACAGCATGCAGAAGATGAAGTAACAGCAGTAGTATTAAGAAACAGAATCAACTGAATACTGTAAAGTGACTTCAGTGGATCATAAAGTAAGATGTGAACGGTGCAATAAGCCACATCTGGGTGGCTGATTCTGTGACTGCCTGTTCAGAACTGTATCCTGATTCTTTTCAGTTGATGTATACCCAAGCCTTATTTACTGTACAAGGATTTAGTCATGGGTGATACGATAGAGTTGTGGCTGCCAGTCAAAGTTGCACAAATGTTAATAGTTTTACCCTTCAAACTTAAACAGTGTAAGTATTTTAGATTTTGGTGGTTTGTTTTGAACAGTCTAGGGAAGTATCCTGAAGTGTTTCTGAGGTTTAAAGCCTACACAGCCTGATTTCCACCCCTGCAGCAGTGAGTCTCTGTTATTTCAGACAAGGTATGCAAAACCCTGAAGAACATGCCATTAGCACCACCAGTGCAAAACCTGGTTTGAGATCACATGATATCACATGGAAACTATACAGAAATAGGTCTGGCTTTATACTGGAAAAGGCTGCTTTAAGGAGAATATTTCTAGTCTCTCTGAGACCCCTTGCCTCATATAATGAATTCCTCTTCTGCAACACTGAAAGCAGGAATCCTGTGGTTAGGTTAGCCTCTATAGGTAAACTTGACTCTTCTTCCTGTTCTCTTAAACCTCACAGTCCTGACTTTCTTCCTCTACATGAATTTTATTTCATCACACTGATTCTCCAGTTCTTCCTCCTCCTCCTGCAGTTTGGCTAGGTTGCTTTGTTTCCTATGCTGTCCGGGCTGAATAGTGGAAAGAGATTTAAGGGAGATGGGTATATTGGGGAGACAGTAGTGGAGGGTTTTGAGTCAGTCTGTCTTATTTGGTTTTCTCATCATGCTTTATCCGCATGCTTTCCAGAAGTGCGGTTGCAGGGAAATGCCAGGTCAGCCCTGCAGCTCTGTAGGAAGCAGGATAATTGCTTCTGAGGACACACAGGATCTGATTAGTAGTAGGAATTGTTTGGAGGTGGAATATGCATAGGGCAGATGGGATCTTTGGTGAATTAAGCTGTCAGTGCTTAACAGCTTTCTGCTGAATATGTGCAAATTCAAATAGGGCGGAAGTCACAACTTGTCTAAATGGGTTGAATTTTGATAGGGCAACAAAACTGTATTTTTTTTTTTTGTTAGAACAACATTGTTTTGCCAAATTCTATGTATTTTGAGAAAATGACATAGATCCTGAATCATCCTAGTGAAGCAGTTGTGCGGGAGGTTTTTCGTTGTTTTTTTACACTAAGCAAAATAGATACTCCTTTTAAAGTATAAGGAAATCATCTGAGGAATGATGGAACAATTTCCATTTAAACTTCCTTCATTTCCCCTGCCTCCTCCCCCCCCCCCCCC